GGAGAGAGGTAGAGGTTTAGAGACATGGGGTGGAAAGAATTGGAAATGGGATTTAACTGTCGAATTTGGTGGGAAATTTTGCAGGAGTGGCATTTCTTATTGCTCCATGTGTAATTTGTTGTGAACTTCAGAGAGAAAGAAGCATAGAAAATGAAAAGGGCTCATAAGATATTCATAGGAGGAGGAGAAGGTTGTGGTGAGTTAAGTTGAACGAGTTAGTCTGCTTGTAAAAAGATGTTTTTGTTCAGGATGAATGGAATATCAGATGAAAAATTAGGAAATCTAATGGCATGGGGGAATTTGGCTAATTATAAGAATTTAGGGAGGCAATTGGCTGAAATTAAAATTCAAGGAAGAAATTGGTAGCTCCTTACAAGTTCGAGGGGGAAATCAACAAATAAGCCAATTTATTTCACTACAATTATATGTATATTAGTACACTCATGTTATAGTGTACCTTCATACATGATTACACATATTGTGAAAACCATGTTATCGTAATCATATTTCAACTGTTACTAGATTAGATTAGGTTTAATAAGGTGACAATGAGTCGTGATCAGCTTTTATCTAGTTATATTGTGTTGTTTTTCTAATTTTTTTTTTATTAACATTATTATCCAAACACATTAATAGAGCCATTTTTTTTTTGTCAACCAAACGATGGTGAAAAATATTATTTAGTTTTCTATCACAACAAAAAAGTTAAGGGCAATAATGTAATTTTGCAAAATAAAATTTTGTTGTTTTTGTTTAAACATCACCGACAAGTGATTTTAACAACCCTAATTTGAAAAAAAAAAATAAAAACCTTTCTCCCATTCTCTCTCTCCACTCCTACATTCTCTCTCACTCTCTTCTTCTCTCTTTCAATTTTAAAACTATAAATAAAAAAATTTCTTACACACATGTACTAGTTATTATTAAGGGAAGGGTGATGATTTCAAACCATTACAATAATTTAGAAAGTGGAAAGTTTCAAACCCGGGAGTATGGATAGAAACTCAACACTTTATCCACCAAGATATTGTGTAATGTTTGTGACACATCCCAACCTGGAATGTCCACTATGACCCCAAATCGAGCTGTGTTGGCCGACACCTGGAAGGTGACGAAGCCATAAAGTGTGATAGTGTATAAGATGTGAATAAATTTGAACCTAAAAGTGTCTAAATACCAAAGTGCGCTATGAGTGAGAGCGAACCTATTTCACACAGAACATAAGTAAAGTGCAGTAATGTGGGTAAGAATCATACCCTTAAAAGTAGCCACCAATACTAAGATTAGCCATAGATCCTCGTCAATACGGACTTAGCAGTCATAACCTGGAGGGGTACAAAACAGAAAGTGTGAGTAAGCAGTAAAACCAAGCTTCCCAAAACTATTACCTTTCTAACAGTAATAACCCCTCACTGTAAATCCCTTATCGTTTTCTATTGAACAGTACTACACACACATATATATATATATATATATATATATATATATATATCCACCCATGCAAAATAAAATGGCCAAAACCACGGGTATGCCATGTCCATAGACTCTACAATGCATTAACAAGTAGGCTAAATGAACTTAATCGATATAAAATGATACATTAGCCGGAATCACCTAACGTGACCCGTACAACTGTACTTATATCACATCAATCAATGCTAGCATATAAGTCGGGAGTCACCTCTAGTGACCCGTATAACTTATCCATATCTCATCAATCATCCCTGCATACGAGTCGAAACCACCTCTAGTGGTTTGTACGACATGACTGGGTGTAAATAAGTACGCTTAAGTGCTACGATCACGTGAAGACTGGGCGAATAATCGTGGGTCACCTATGAGTCGAAACCACCTAGTGGTCTGTACGACAGACATGTGCACCTACCTTAAGTCCAAGGTGAGTGTAAGGTGCGGGAGGTGAACATCACGTGAAGGACTGTGCCCTGACCACAGGCAGGAGCACTAACACTAGGGTGCAGGTATCCATATCTCATCAATCAATGCTAGTATACAAGTTGGGAGTCACTTAGAGTGACCTATACGACTTAATCTATAGCTCATCAAACATCCCTGCACATGAGTCGGAAACACCTCTAGTGGTCTGTATGACAGGACTGGGTGTAATAAGTAAGCTCAAGTGCTACAATCACGTGAAGACTGGGCGAATAATCGCAGGTCACCTACGAGTCGAAACCACCTATAGTGGTTTGTACGATAGGACTGGGTGTAAATAAGTACGCTCAAGTGTTATGATCACGTGAAGACTGGGCGAATAATCGCGGGTTACCTATGAGTCGGAACCACCTATAGTGGTCTGTACGACAGACATGTGCACCTACTTTGAGTCCAAGGTGAGCGTAAGGTACGGGAGATGAAAATCACGTGAAGGACTGTGCCCTGACCACGGGCGGGAGCACTAACACCAGGGTGCAGGTATTCATATCTCATCAATTAATGCTAGTATACAAGTCGGGAGTCACCTATAGTGACCTATATGACTTAATCTATAGCTCATCAAATATCCCTGCACACGAGTCGAAACCACCTTTAGTGGTCTGTACGACAGGACTGGGTGTAAATAAGTATGCTCAAGTGCTACGATCACATAAAGACTGGGCAAATAATCGCGGGTCACCTACGAGTCGGAACCACCTATAGTGGTCTGTACAACAAGCCTGTGCACCTACCTTGAGTCTAAGGTGAACATAAGGTGCGAGAGGTGAACATTACGTGAAGGACTGTGCCCTGACCACGGGCGGGAGCACTAACACCGAGGTGCAGGTTTATGAGCTCTCAATGCATCTCAACATAACACGTACAACTCATGGGCAAACAGTACGACAGTATTGGAGTTGCATAACACATAAATGTAGTCATGCTATAACTCCATCGATTCAACTAATACCATAAACTCACCTGAACTTACTTGGGTGTCATGCATTCACCTTTGCACTTCAAAGCATTCACAATAATTATGTGCAAGTAATATACATATGGATATACCATGATGCAATCAAATACTCAACCATGTCGTAGCATTTTAAATTATATACAATACGGTGTAAAATGTACAATCAATAACGCCCTACTCTCGAACTACTTATTGTTAGGGATAATTATCCATGACAAGCCCAATTAACACTAATTTAACTAACTAATTTACAAAACTAAAACTTGCCTTTGCCAATTTCCTTCGCATTACTCAATTTCCCAAATAAGGCTTTTGTCTCAAATATATTATGGATGCATCTAACGTCTCGTTAGACTGCCTACGTACCTTAAATAAGGATCAAGCCATTCGTAGTACATATAGTACTTCAAACATTCACAATAATTATATGAAGGTAATATACCTAAATCAATTTAAAAGTGTTGATGGAACTATCAATAATATGTACGAAAGGAAAAGATCCACTCACCTGAAGTCCACGCTATGATTCTCTAGCGCACGCATCGAGACGTCCTGAATGATTGGCGCATGCGACCAATTATCGAATCACATCTCAGAACTCTTATTAATAGAATATGTAATTCATGTAAAACGCATCCTCAAGGACATTCTAAAATAGTTCGAGACCCATTGACCACAAGTCAACTGTCGATCTTTCTACACCCTGTATAACTCGGCCCAGAAGATCCGCATATCAGATTTCCAATCCACAACTCCCAAAGATCCACAATAGGCTTCTAGAATAACATATTAAAATTTCATTATGATCCAACGGTTGGATCTCCGCCAATTGCCCAAAATCAAGTGGACGTGAACATTTATTTTACTAACTTACAAATCCAATTCGGGAAGATCCGTAGTTGGATTTCCAATCCATAAATTCTTATGATCTTTAAATATTACATATTATAATGTATCCAAGTTTGGTGACGATCCAACGGTCGGATCGTCGATTCACATTTTTATCAAGTAACGTATCGTAACGAATTTAGGTTCCAATAATCAACCTACGTCATTCAAATATCAAAACTGAATTCAAGACATTCGACATAGCCTAAAAATAGCATTGGCGGCCCACTGGCCACACGCCGCCGTACGCGCCACCATAAATGGCGGTCGGCTGCTTTGACTCGCCGGAAAATCCAACTATTTCCAAAAATTCTCAAACTTCACAAAAATGAAGATCTCAGTGAGTGGAGCAACTTTTCATACCTGCCACGAAGTCCAAAAGTGGACGAAAAATAGTCAATTTTGCCCACAAAGCTGGCGGGTGCCTAAAGCTTCCCGATGTCGATTTGTCTTCTACAGTGGTCCAACGGGGTCAAGGTTGGTTGGGTTTTGCTCCTAGGATGATGGGCTACAAAGCCCAAGTGGTGGCATCGGCCATCGCTTTACCGATTTATCGAAAAATCGAAAAGAGTGGCCGGAGCACCATTGATTTTCGTCAACTTTCGTGGCCTCCAACCGCCATATACCATGGTTAATCAAGGTGGTTCTTGGGTGAGTTTTGTAGAGGGGAATGAGAGCTTCAAGATGGTTGGTAGCGTCGAAAAAATCCATCGGAGTTGGCCGGAATCAACCTTGGAAAATGGGAGCTTGAGGTGGGTGTGGGTCGATGGGGAGGCTACTTAGCCTTTTTTTCTTTTCTTTTTTTTTTTATTTATTTTTATTTTTTTATTTTTTTTTATTTTTGGATATGGCTTCACTCCACAAAGTGGGGATTTAATTTAATTAAAACTAAACCTTGAATAACCAATTTCGAACGTCTGTAACTATATCGTTATAATCCGGATTCGCAAACGGCTTTCGCCTATACGTTCTTACCAACGAGTACTATGAGGATATGCTAAAAGAATAAATCCTACATCTCTCAAGCCGATGGTCAACGGAAGTCAAAGTCCTTGCCTCTAGGGCAATTTTGTAAAGTCCCACTTTTAAAATAAAATAAAAACTTAAAATTTAGAACGAGTTGTCACAGTTCGTGTCATGCAAAATGATATAAAAACAAGATTGTAATAATACAATAACTCATTTTTTGATAGGAAAATTGAGAATAGTTATCAATTTATTAATCTTGTAAACATCGAGTACTATATTTGTTTCAAGTTGGTGTAACTTGCCGTGGGTCTTGAGTCGAGGACTCGAGGTCACGGGTTGGACCAGTGGATTAACCACCCTAATTTATTTATTTATTTAAGATATAGTTATCCTATAAGGATGTAAATCAGGATAAGGATGGTATTACTATTAGCTTTCATCCAATCCCTCTACTTTATCTTACCTAGCAAAGATCATACATTAATTAACAAAAAGCAAGAGAGATGGACTAATATGGCTCATACAAGTTACGGCCTGATGCAACTCCAAAAGTTTGTAGGACAATATGGGCTGTGATCATGCAACCCCCAAATTTGAGGCCATTGAAGAGAGTCTACTTGTGTCCTTGTTTCTTTTTCATTTTTTTGATGAACAATTTCTTTTTTCTTTTTTTTTAAGAAAGTGGCCAAGCTTTTATTAAATACTATGCATTTCTCTACATCTTATTAGGCAACAGAACTTGATCATCATCAGACAAATGAATTCCAATCACAATTCATACTAAAGCCTACATGGTAATTCTCTACGCTAAACTCATATTATACATCATTTACATTTACCAATGCATAAAATAATATTTGAAACTCCTCTAACACGCTTGTAGCTAAAGTAATTAAGAACACTTACCACCACTTGTGATATTGTGTCTAATTTCTCTCAATCATCGATCATCACAAACTTTTCTAGTGACCATGACGTCGAGACAGCGGTATAGCCACGGCGTTGGTACATTTCGGAGACTAAATTCCCTCAGTAGCTACCATCTTCTTGTCACTCAATCTTCTAATATAATCTTTCTTCTTTGATGCCGCCGGCCTTCTTGTACTACTCGAACTCTGTTTCAACGTTGGAATTGCGTACCAGAATATAGACGTACACAGTATTGCAAAAGGCCGCCCAGACAAAGTCAACAACACCAAAATAAAGATCACAACGACCGGCAAATAATAAGATGGCCTTCTCCACCCATCCGACTTCATGTTCGAACTTGAAAAACTCCCCTTCTTGCTCTCTTGATCGGATTTCGATCCCGGTTGCTTCTGCTTCACGTCTTTCTTGTCTATGTGGGATTGGTCAATATTTTCCGAGGCTACTGAATTAGCGTTTGAACGGTTCTCTTCAGGATTACCAGTTGTCTTTGTTTTGCCTACCTTTTTGTGTTTCTTTTTTATCACGATTGGAACCGGAGCACTTGTATCAGTCTCGTCCTTGAACACGAACCGCACGAAAGATATGTCTTTCGGGTCCATTTGTGCATAAATCTTCTTCCTTTTCTCTTCTAGGTCAGCTACAAGTGCAGAAAACTTGTCGAGGCCGCTGTCCGAATAAGGGTTTTTGCTGTCCTTGTTGTGTCTTCTGTAAATCAGGCCAGCGCTTTTCGATCTCGATGATTTTCTTGGAGTTGGAGGTGAAGTTGAAATCATGGGCTCATCATCATCTTCTTCTTGGTGATTAAAAGTGGCACAGTTGAAGGGGCTCAACATGTTGTGATAATTTTCACGGTTTTTTTCCCTCTGAGCTGAATGATTTGGTTGTGATTGTGAGAAAGGAAGAACAGAGAGCCAGATATATTATTGAGGGGCCTGCTGAGAGAGGCTGATCCAAACAAGCCTAGTCAAGTTTCCAAAAAAAAAAAAAAAAAAAAAAAAGGGCTTAGTCAGATTAGACGTTTGACTTCTTGGGGCTGGGGCAAAATTATGGATAAATGATGTAGAAAGAATGTTTGTACTGAGGCCAACGACAAGAAAAAAAAAATGCACATGAAACGAAATTCTTTCATCAAATTAAGCATATTTACTCCTTAATGCGCTTAATGCTTGGGCAAATTAGAAGGCTTGAAGAAGTCCAACGTTAACGTCAATGTGTTAAATATTGAACCTAAACCTCTACACGCATACATTTTCCAGAATTTTATGTAATAAGTTCAATATTTTCTAGAAGGGACACCAAGAAAAATTATTAGGCTGTAAAACTTCCAATGATTTGTTGGTACAGTAAAAGATAAGTGTGAGATTTTATAACGAAAAAATCTCTGTGCTAGTAGTAGTGAAACCACACATACAGATATTGGAGATTATTTTGTCAAGTTTTCAATGTGATAACAATTGTCCATTTGAGCAAAAATATTTTATCAACAAAGTAACAATGGATGTCACTAGATTAATATAGTCAGCGACTCATCTAAAGTTGCACATAGAGGCTTCGCCGCATTTTATTGCATTTATATGACAAGTAATTGAAGAGGAGTGTGTTCTATTATAATTTGCAACATTGTAAACAGCCATAGCCATCCTAATCGCATCATTAACTCTTTGTCTCTGTATAAGAACATAATTAAGGACCTCAAAAATCAAAAGAACACACGCTTACATCACTGGAGGAGAGAAAGGCTCTCAATTTCTTCTGTGTACGGCAGCAATATATACAGTAAATTGCAATTATGCACGCTTACATCATATTCTACAAGACTTTCAATCTTTCAATTGTTGAGGTACATTAACATGAACATGAACAAGCAAATTGTGTACAGAAATAGAGCCAACGCGACAACAATCACATGACATCCCATTAATTCAAGCAAATTGTGTGGGTGCACAATATATAGAGAGTGACTGAGTTGCTAAAATTTTTTAAAGGCCTTAACCTCTCCAACTCATCTTCAAGGGGTCCGTAGAGTCAACTATAGAAACGTGGCCGGTTAATTTGTAGGGCCTAATTTGCATGGTTAACAATCCAAACTATTTATATTTTAAATTTTAATTCATAGATTATTTATATGAAAATTTAATTGACTGTGAAATTATTTAGACATTTAATTGTTAGTAAGAAAATTCAGTTCTCCTTATAGACACTAAATTTGTCAATTTTTTTTTTGTCACTGTTAGATGTTTCAATTATTTCTGAATTTGCTAATATTTCTTGAAAAATTGAAATATTGGTCCCTAGATTTTGGCTTAATTGTACCTTTGATCATTGATTAAATATTTGTGAGAAGTGGTTCTTAAACTCATCGCTATTTTAGCAATGATCATTTTCGGTATCACACCATTAAGCCTAAAAATTTAAGGGGAAAATAAGAGATACAAACCTAACGAAGTTATCTAAAATGATCAAGGTTCTAAAAGATGCTAGACGCTAGTCGGGTAGCGAACTGGGGCCTAGGTGGGTGCCTAGGCGGACTAGGCTGATTTAAGTAAATATATTATATTTCGTGTAAATAAGTGTCTGTTTATACTTAAAAATATATCTAATTACATTATAAATTAAAAAATAGAATGACATATATATAATGAAGTATTGAAACATAATGAAAACTTGGAGAACAAGCACATAATGTGTGTTCATTTAAGTATTCGATAACTCTCTTACAATTTATTAAAAAAATGCAAAATGAAAATTATCTATTTTTCTGTCTAAGTGAATTGTAACCTAGGTGAGTATGGACGGGTGCTTAGGAGGGCGCCTCAAAAAGTTTAGACGTCATTTCTAAATTTTCAAATATCTATGCATTAATCGGGGTGGTAACTAACCACTTAACGCTTAGATGAGAATTTTTAGAACGGTGAAAATAACCATTACACCACATTGTGGCAAGTTCAAGAATAATACTAATGAGTTTTTAGTCATAGACCAAAGCTCCAACTTGAGTCAAAATTCACGGGTCAATTCTCTAATTTCCTAAATATTGCTTTGTATCACAAACACGAAGAAAAGAGCTGGTCCCACATGTGCCATTTCAACAACTTTAATCGGGTTTTGGACATACTTAATAATGAGGGTGAGTCAGACACAAAACATTCGTCAACGGTAGGTATAATATGTACATGGATCCTCTCCGGCTCTATGCATCTGAATCTTAAGAATCCATCAATTCGGATCATTGAAATTTGATCCAACGACTAAAGTTATTATAACTTTTAAAGTAGGCCCCATGTTTGTAGTCGTTAGATTAAATTTCAATGGTCCGGATTGGTGGATCCCTAGGATGATGATGCATGGATCCGGAGAAAATCCATGTCCGGTATAATATCAATTGTGAGAGAAATTATGTTTGATTCTCGTAAACTATGAATAAGAACTAAATTACTATAACTAGTTCATTGTCAGATTTAGCTCACTTTTTGATCCCTTAATATAGATAACATCAAATGTATTAAGAAAAGATATGACATCAATTTCATGTTTTTTCCTTTCTTATGCTCTTGCTTTGAAATGACTGAAAAATGGTTTGTATTCAACCAACACTTGTATCTTTTCAACCACACCCTTGTCTAACTTTCTGCTCTTCAACAGTGGAGTTTTCTAATTCATGCTCAGGTAGCTTGTAAAAAATCATATGTGCTTCTTTTCTTGATAAAACAACACCAATACCATGATGTAGCACACTTCGACCGTTTGTTGACTTTACAAGAAAAATAAGAAACAAGTGGACGGTGGTTCTCACTTTTCAACATAATCGATCATGATTAAATTGTCGAGTAGTTTGCAAAACGTTTTTTCCGATACAACGATATTTTAGTGTTTTAACTTTGTTGATCATGAACAATAAGATTATATTTACCTTGACATTTTAGAGTTAAAGTAATTTAGTTACGGCTTAAAGATGAAAAGATAGCTTTAGTTTCGAAAAATACAAAATATGCAAAATTGCTCGAGATTCTCTCGAAAATGACTCGAGACTCCTCGAACAATGCCGCTTGAAAAAGGGCAATTATCCAAAATTTCAGAGGGCATTTACGTTTTACGACAAAAGCCAAGCCGTCGTCTTGGTGACGGAACGTCAATGTAATTTGCCGAATTCATGCACTGGATTCACGGATTCCGTTTCCCTCCCTTCGTAGCCAAAGTCCAAACAAAGTCAGCACGAAGACTCCACCTTCAAAACTAAAACGACGACGTATCGCAACACGAGGGACACGTTGGTCATTTTCAAAAAACTGCCGTGCAAAACCGGAATCCGAAACGGTCGCAAAAAGCCAGGGCCCCACATTAATCGCTTTCCTATTTGCAGTTATAAAGGCAGAGGTTTGCTCCGCTGGGTAGGTACTCATAAAAACAAACAAACAAACAAACAAACCGAAACACCCAACCAAACCAACCACCAATGACAGTCCCAAACGACGGCGTCTCTAAAGAAGCCGACGACGTCCCTGGCACGGAGGCCGAGTTGATTGAACTCGGCAACGCCGCCGAGTTGAACGAGGGGGCGGTGCGCAGCGGGAAGGTGAGGGGACCGTGGTCGCCGGAGGAGGACGCGGTGCTGACCCGGCTCGTGAGCAACTTCGGGGCGAGGAATTGGAGCCTGATCGCCCGCGGAATTCCCGGGCGGTCTGGAAAGTCGTGCCGGCTAAGGTGGTGTAACCAGCTCGACCCCTGCGTCAAGCGTAAACCCTTTTCTGGTAATTTAATCGCCGCCATTTTCTGTTTGATGTTTTTGTTTGTGCTTGGATTGCTTTTGTCATGTCCGGATTTTGAAGGCGACTGATTTTCGATTAGGATGTTCGGATTGTGAATCTTTGGTTTCCGAATTTGAAGATGTTTGCCAACTCTTGTTTGTTGGTGTCGTGTTTGTTACATATGTCGGAAGTGTCGTGTTGGTTTCTTGTTATTTCGGTGAACTAATTCTCGGTTTTGTGTTTGTTTAATCAAAGATGTAATATGTCATTTGGCGAAAAATTATGACCGTTCGAGATGGTCCTAAGTAGCACGCAAAAGGAGTGGGATTTGATGTTTGTATGTCGTAAGCCTAGTGTGTTGATCGAGGAGCCTAGCATTTGGTTAGTGTCGAATATGAGTTCAAGATTAAAGATGGAGCCTTGATAGTTATGCGGTTGGTCTAGTGTGGTGCGAATTTGTTCGAATTTTGTTGAAATTGGAACTGGTAGTGTGCTTGGACTGTGCAGTGTGTAGCATAAATGCTCCAATTAGCACGGTCTTTTTCTCAGCGTGGTTTTCAGTCTTGCGTACGTTGTTTCTATAATGTTAACATATCTTGTTTTTGTCGTGATCCATCTGTTTGGTCATTTGTGATTTCGTATGTATTTGTATAGTCGGCTCTCTTGATTCTTCTTTATACGCTGCTTTTGGACAATGTTTAAGGAATGAATTTAGAATGATTTGTAACACCATGATGGAAGAACGTATATGAAGTTTTGGTCACAATTTGGTGATAGATTTTAAAGGATATCGTGTATATGTAGGGCTGGCGCATCAAATCATTTTAATTAGATGGTAAATCTATTTTATTTGGCCCCAAGGGATCGTGATGTCTGTGGGCGAACCTCGGTTTTTGTTGTTTGGAATTGCATTAAGATTTAGTATCATGCTGGTTCTCATTTTGCTAAAATGTTGCTGTTGGTTCAGGTTAGTGAATCAAATATAGCGGGAAGTTATCTGCTTGCGAACTTCGTAATCTTGTCCTTTGCATGGATAGCTTTTGTTGTCATTACATTTTGAGAAATATGCTGAGTAAATTGCGGCATAACTTTCTATCCAAAGTTGCATATTTATTTGCTTCATTGCTTTTGCTGAAGTTTTCTCAATTGGAACGTTATAATTAATGCAGGGGAAGAAGATCGTATAATAGTTTCAGCCCATGCTATCCATGGGAACAAATGGGCAGTAATTGCAAAGCTTCTTCCAGGTAGAACAGATAACGCAATCAAGAATCATTGGAATTCTACACTAAAGCGCAGGTGCTTTGATAAAGTAAGGTTTAATCCGGGACCTGGGGAAATGATGGAAGATGACACCTTTGACAGAAAAAAGGCATCCTCAGAAGAAACCTTGTCAGTTGGGAATATCAGTTCATTCAAGACTTGTGAAGGTCAAGCAAAGGACGGTTGTTGCGCTGCTGAGTCAAAAGAGCATTCTACTCTTCGTGCCGAATCAAGAGACCATCTGACTCTCCAGTCCACCCTTTGTCGTCCAATGGCTCGTGTTAGTGCTTTTAGTGTTTATAACCGTCCAAGTGATCCAGCAAATGCTTCAGCTTTTTCAAGGACAGTCCCAAGTCATGGCCCTTTGGTCCCAACAACTAAACTAGATTTTGGGTTCGACAACTTCCTTGAAGGTGCATGTAATGAGCCTATGGTTCCTGAGCACTGTAGCCATGGTTGCTGTGATCGAGTTGAGGAGCATTCTCAAGGCTCGTTGTTGGGGCCTGAGTTTGTTGAGTATGACGAGTCTCCGCCTTTCTCCAGCCACGAATTAATCTCCATTGCTACGGATTTGAACAAGATTGCATGGATTAAGAGTAGCCTTGAGAGTAGCACGATGGGTATGCCAGAGAATGTAGCAAGCCAAAGAGTCGTTCAAGCGGCTGCCACTACCTTGCAAATGGGAGTGCCAGCAAACAATCCGATGAATGACCATATGCGCTTTGAGGAAGGAAGAAACAAGTTGATGGGAATGATGACCGAAGTGCCATCAACCCAGGTGCCTAGACAAACTTTTGCAATGCCAACTGAAGTTGAGGGATTGAGCTAGAACTCATGGCTGGTCTTCCTCGGTCTTCGGGGTGCTTCGGTTTTAGCGGGAGAATATGTATACAGACCGGTTAATTTACTGCAGATTAAGTTAAGTCTCCAGTTTCATTTACAAGGCTTTTCACTTTTGACTTATCTCGTTCAAGAGCCGTTTTACTTGGGCATTACATCAAGATATATATGTAGGTACTTCTCTGCCCCTTTTGTCATGAGCAAAGAAGCTGTTGACTAGTTAATGCTTCCTAGAAGTGCAATTTTATCTCAAATCCAAAAACTTGATCGGTAAAACTTTGGCACTCCAATTTTAGCTTCTGGCACTCCAAATCGATTATTTTGTAGCTTGTTCACATTCAGGGTTGGAGAGCTAGAAGTTAAAACGAGAGTGAAGAAAAATCTATACGAACTATGAAAATCATTACTTTTGTAAATAATAAACAAGAGAAATGATTTTCGCACATTTTCCTTCTGTACACTCATCATTCTTTACGTCCTTTGTTTCTCCTTTAATTTGTTTAATTCGAAGATCATAAATAATAGAGGCGTATAAAGAAGAAAATGAGTGTCGAAAATCATCTCCAGTAAAGAAAAAGATTTCGGGCTTAGGACCTGGCCTGATCTATATGACCCATGAAAAATGGTGCCAAAATAAGTGATAGGTCGATCTTGGACTCAAAACAGTTGCTTTACCCATATCCTCCATTTAAGAAGATGGCACTTATGTAGTGAACATTGAAAAACACCCATACCAAAACCCATTATTTCTCTTGCTAAAGGGAAGTGTTATTAACAGTTTTAAAATCTTACTTTACGTGTATTTTTCTTTCCTAAAATAGAAAGTTTAAAGTCAAGAATGAGATTTTTAGAGTGCTAATAACAATTCAATCGCTAAAAATGATCTACAAATTGTTGAAATATGACACGATCGTATTAAAATTTAAATATTCTAATTACATTTTAACTAATAATTTTTTATGACAAAACCTTATGCCTAACGAATTGGTCTGCTTTGTTAGGCCCATCCTTACGATACCTATATTTTAATTTTAAGTAAAACTAATGAAAAAAACTTGAAAATTTTGAGTTTTAATGATAAGGACAAAATAAAGAGTAAAATGAATAGTATCAGGATTAATTTTTTAGTGTAAAAATATGATTTTTTTGTTAAAATAAACAGTACCATAAATTTTTCGTTAAAACTCTTTTTATTTTAACCAAAAGTTTAATTTAGAATTTTGCCGAACATTAGGTTAAAACGAAAATTTTCAACTTACCCTAAAAATTTATGATGATGGAACAGCTGTTCCATAGGTAACAGTGCTCACGTCACCTATGTTTTTTTTAATCGCTTAACGTTTTGAAAAGTCAAAACCACCCCTTCAACATCAGAAAATGCAGGGGCATGTCTGTCTTTCACAAGTTAAAGTGGACTGTCCTCAGAAAACAAAAGGCTGGGGTCATCGTGCCAGTTACGCAAGTGAAACGGAAGCAGATTAAAGAAAGGACCTGGCTTCTTTACTCTTTCACTTTTCATACACTCTCGTTTCCTTCGACTTCTTATAATAAAATAAAAGTTAATAGTAATATAAAATATTGATATGATTTAACCTTAATTGTATAAATAAAAGGGGATAGGAATGTATGGGAAGTGGGAGGGTAGAGAAACCATGTCTTTAAAAGAAAGGAGGCAGATTGTCTATCCTCGTGTTTGAATGTCTTTTTCATCCCTTCCTACTTATGCGATCACGGTTAAACCAAATCAATATTTTATATTTTTATTATTTTTTATCTTATTATTTTTATAAAAAAATTAATATAAAATATTTACATAACTTAATCGTGATTGTACAAAATAGAAAATAACGAGAAAGACACCCAAACAAAAAGACAAACAATCTACCTCCTAAAAGAAAAGCACTTTGAGTCAAGAAAACCAAATGAAATCTACTTTTCATGCAAACAATTCCTGTGTTCTCTCCTCAACAGTTTCTAAAGTCACCTCAATCACTTCTTTTCTAATAAAAAATAAAAGAAAACTAACGAAGGGAGGAGGATTTTCTAGCCTTTCTATCTTCCTATTTGAACAATCACGGTTAAATCAAATCAATATCTTATATTAATTTTTTTTATAGAGATAATAAGACAAAAAATAATACGTGAGAGGAGAAGATGAAAAAAGATGAGAATAGAAGGGTAGAGAATCCTCCTCCCTAATGACAATGTTTTGAAACTCTGAGTTTTAACAATAAAGATAAAATAAATGATGAAGTGACTAGTATCAAAATTGACTTTTTAATCTAAAATTGTGGTTTTTTTAAAGTAAACAGTACCGGAAGTATTTTGTTAAAGTTCCAAAAAAATAATGGTTTCAGCTCCATTTCGTTCAATTATACGGAATTGGATCCGCTACGAACATTAATGTTCGGATCCTACATATCAACACATCTCCACCGTTCATTGGTGTGTAAAAAAAAAAAAATCAAATTGTTGGTTTGTGTGTACGAAGCCCACCAAATGAATTAAGGGAAACCGTGAAATTCAATTTATGCGGTTTAAATATGTTGATCCTTAAATTGTTAGTTTGAGGAGAGACCCTTTCTTTTTCTTCTCAATGAAGCAGAGAGATTAACAAATAAACAGAGACACTAATCTCCCTCATTACTTGTTAAACCAAAAAGGCAAAGTTGAATAGGCAATGTGGGGGCACATTGTTCGTTGTTTATGATCACTAACCTAAACAACACATTAATCCTGTTAATTTAACCAGAAAAAGCAGAGCCGGGGTCAAAAGTCCTCTGTTTTGGGGACACAAATTAGAAAGCTTTATAGGTTACTATGTTTCACCTGCTCACTGCAAGCATATTTTTACTCTCTGTCTGTTTTCCTCCATTATTCTATATAAAAGATATTTCCTTGCTCACCGACGCTGAGAGTGCGGAGAGGGAGTTAGGAGAGAGAGGGAGGGGTTACCTACTGCGACAGAACCCAGTTGCTGAAAATCTAAGAAACCGACTGCCTACTGGGTTGAGAGCTTCTTCAACATCTGTGGGCGTTGATGATCACGGCCGCACAGGGCCATTACATGAAGAGTCTCTCTCTGGGTTTTGCAAATGGCAGCCGCAGACAAATCCCACGTGGTTGTTGATGTGGTTGAGGAGGAAGTGGGACGCCGCAGCGCCGCCACGGGTCGAAGTAGTTACTTTGACTCCGGCTCACAGGGGTCGGAGGACCAGGAGGGGAGATGCTCCAGTGAGTCAGGGTCTGAGATTGTGGAGAGGGAATCCTCTGTGTCGGAGGGTTCGGTTGAGGTGGATCTGGAGGAGGTGAAGATGCACGTGGTGAAGGTGGAGAGGGATTGCAGGATTTGTCATCTGAGCTTGGATGCAACGAATCAGGAATCTGGGATTCCTATTGAGCTGGGGTGTTCTTGTAAGGCTGATTTGGCTGCTGCCCACAAGCAGTGTGCTGAGGCTTGGTTCAAGATCAAGGGTAACAAGTAAGTTTTGTTTTTACATCTAAAAGGTTAAATCTTTCTGTGTTTTGGTAATTACATCGCTGTTAAAAGTTTTTACTTTTATGTGTTTTGCATTGATTCGTTGAAATGCTAGGTTAAATTGTTAGGTTGTTCCTCCGAGGATTGTGAAACTGTGAAATGTAATTTGGGGATAATGCATGAAAAAATGTTATACTTAGTGAGATAAACATAATAATAAAAGCGATATTCTAATCTACGCTAATTTACGGGGAAATGAATGTGCTAGAGGCGAGCACACTCATCTGACCAACCCACCTAACTCACGTCTGCACATTATAATGCAAGCTCAAATTAGAATAAGTTTGTGTGCTGCTTTAAGGAAAAAGCATATTGGTGTAAACCAAGAGCATATAACTAAAGTTGAAAGCACCGGCAGCCCTGCATGGAATTCCAACGTGCACATGATTCTTCTCCCATTCTTAGCTTGTTGGAATGCCTGCACTTTCCATTTCTCTCACTCCTTGCCGATGCTTTTTCCGCCTTTCCGCTTGGACAAAGCCGGTTGGTGGCGTGTGCTTTGTTAAAGTCAAATAATTTGGTTTGTTTGCACTTTCTTCTGATATGATATGTTAACTGAATCACTTTGACTTTGTAAACCTGTATTGAACATGTGTTTTACACATGCATTTATCTTCATGATGGTTGTTTTAGAAATAATTAAGTGCTTTTACCCAGTTTCGTTTTCCTGATATGGACCCACTGTGTGAATTTACCAACTTAGACGGCTCAAATTGTTGTAAGAAGCCGTCTTATGAAGAGTGAGTGATTACCAACTGAAGTGGGTTTGTCTTTTCGGAAGCACCACAAGTTAAGTGGAAAAGAATCTGCATTTTGGTCTCTAGGTTTATATGATTTTGTTTGAATCCATTAGAAGATCGAGTATGTATAAACAACAATCATCTCAATAACACCTTTGTGCATCATCAGAGCACAAGCTGTTATAGAATGAATATCATTATTTCGCTCAGGTTTACATTGCCCGTTGCTTCTAAGTAACACATGCTTATATTCCTTTGTTCTCCTTAAGCTACTCTCAGTGTTTTGTAATGTTTGAACTTTGAAGGTTTCTACCTTTCCTACTCCCATTAGACAAAAACCTTTAAATTGCCTCGTGTCCTTGTACTTGTGTTAAAGGAAAAAAGGTAGGAAAATAACTGAAATTGAAATTGCTTGCATAGTTCCGTCTGCTTTCTCGTTTAAGACTTTGTTCCTTTCATCTATTAACGCCTTGCTATAAGTTGACAAGCTTTTCAGCAGAGCTGTGTGGTGCATTGCTTACCGAATTCTGGTGATCTCATAGATTCTTTATGCTTGGTATGTTTTTAAAATGGAAATATGGCAGAAGCCAATGTCAATCTGACTGAGATGGTAAAAACAAGTACATACCTGAAAAGATAAAGATTTTAAAGTTTCATGTAAAAGTAAAAATCTTATTCGGTTCAACTTGTCAAACTTTTCTCACATCCTAAAACCATTATCGAAAAAATCTTAGTTGTATCTTGACCTTGATTTGGTCCCGGCTAGTTGTATCTTTCCCTTGTGATTGGATTAAAATGTTTGTGCGTTTATGCAAATAGTTTTTTTATTTTGTTTCCATAGGAAATCAAACGTGTAGGTTATTTGTTTTAGGTAAGATCCCAGTCTTACACGCAGGTTTTGTAACTCTAACCCAAGCATAGAGCAAGGAGATGTGTGTGCTTTTTACCACACCGTAGTTAGAAGTGAACTGGTTCCATTTGATGTATTCATTTATAAACCCATTGTACTTCTGAAAAACTGGACATTGGGCTTCCAGCTGTGGCATGAGATTTGTGACAACTTCTAATCTAAACCTTCTTATATGAATACAGGGAATGGCGTTTCACACTAATAACTCTGCCCTAACTAAAAAGTTTGTTAGAGCTCCCAGGAGGGATGCTGAATGACAGTTGTTCTTTACACCTGCTTCTTTCTTCAGTTCTGCCTTCGGAATAAGAAATATCTTCTATCCAATGCCATATTTTTAGTTTCAATTGCCTAACCTGTAACCAAACAAAAGAGTAGAGTTTCACATGCTTCTTTGGGGTATCCTTTCCATCTTCATGTCTACGTTATTAGTGCTCAATTTTCGTACTGAATATATATGATTGCAGAACCTGTGAGATCTGTGGATCAACCGCACGTAATGTTTCTGGTTTGAGTGAAGCTGAGTTGGCGGAGCAGTGGCATGATGAAGCCGCACTGGCAACAACAGCAGGAGGTGCCCCTGTGCAGACAGCAGAGAGCCGAAACTTCTGGCAGGGTCACCGCTTCCTGAACTTCTTGCTAGCTTGTATGGTCTTTGCGTTTGTCATCTCGTGGCTGTTTCACTTCAATGTGCCCTCATGAAAAACTCGTGTAGAGGGTTGCCCATTTCCTTCGGTGATGATAGAGAGGTAGCAACCAAGCACTCAGCGGTACCTTCCTTGTACCTGTGCCTCCAAAAACTATGTTGGAGTTAGCTGTTTCTCTCTGTCTACTTGTTGTTCATATATTAGTAGCCTTAGCTTCAGCAGGTCGTGTAATTTATATTTCCACTATTAAAAGTTTAAACTTGAATTGAATTTGCATCACCAGAGTAGTTTATTGTACTAACTCAAGATGCTTTATTAGATAAACATAACCAATTATATGTAAAGATTTGTGGCAGATGCTTCACTATGTTGTATTGTTGTATAAGCAGGTAAGACGCTGTAGAGGGGCTTTTGGATTAGGTCATCCGAAGGGAAGCTCTTATAAAAGCAAGACTCTTTGCATTTCGGTCTCATCTTACCCCATGATGATCTCATTGGTATGAGAGTTGCCCTAATCAGGCAATCATACCGAAGTTTCTCTCCTACCATGGGGTGTATTTGGAGTTTGCGTCCAATCCGGTTTTCTTTTTTGGGTAGCATGGATTAAATAGAACATTCTCGGTCATAAAATACTAGTTGGAGATTTCTTATCCTACAAGGTATGAGTTTTAACTCTTGGAGGCAAGTAATTGGAACTGGGTGAAAGTTTGACTCATAACAGGGAATCCTGGGGCATTTCTACTCAAATTTGGATATTGAGTTGCATTGACTCTGCAAGCAATGTATTTGCTGAGCTGAGTAGTGTTCTTGCAATTGGCCATTGGAACTGACCATCGGCAATGTCAAATGTATATAATATGGTTTGACATTCAAGCTCAATGATTACTGCTCAGATGTTTCTATCAATGACCCTGAAATTTGGTAAAGAGTTTGACAAAAAAGTTGGTAAGGATACTAGTGCAGAAGCTTGGCATGCTTCATGAGATATCATTGCTTAAAGTTTTCGACACCATTTAAGAAGCTTGCAACTCAAGCTGTTAAGAGTGTTTGCTTGTCCGTCCTAACTAGCACATATACATAAATATATGTGAATTCCATAGATCGATTAGAGGAGTATAGTCGATCATATTCCCATTCTTTTTCTCGTTTATTCTTAAGTCTTCTCATTCATGACTTCCCAAGTCGAAGCAAACATGAAGTTGCAACCAAATTCAATGTCAGTTGTTGGGGGGAAGTCAGGGTTTTAGGTCCATGCACGAGTTGCTGCGTGGAAGGTGCCGTGATTGGCGATCACAATCTTAATAGGCCGCAGACACAGCTCGTGCTGGTGGGAACTCACTCCAAAAAAATCACCAACTCTTATTATTAGGGTAGGGATTTCTTATGATTGATATATAATTTAATATTATTTTTCCATCATTCAGTTTTGTTCTCTTTGTTTTTATTTTTTATTTTTTTTTATTTTTAGGTGGACGAATCAATCATAATTGGAGGCAGATTGTCTACCTTTCTGTTTAAGTGTCATTCTCATCTTTTTCTATTTTATGTGGTCACGGTTAAGTTACGTTAATATTTTATATTGATTTTTTTATAAAGATAATAAAACAAAAAGCAATAGGAATATAAAATGTTAACGTGACTTAACCGTGACCACACAAATAAGAGGGGATGAGAAGTACACCCAAACAGGAGGGCATGTAATCTGCCTCCATCATAATTTCCTGACACCAAAAATTGGAAAAGAAAACAAATTGAAGTAATTGTTTGTTTGTTATTATGATGCTCTGCACTGCTGGTGACGCCTGCTATGCTCTTAAGTTGCATTGAGTTCCTATTATAGTTTAAGGGGTTAATAGTAAGTGCACTCTAGAGCAAAAACATTCATGACTTAGTATACCAGTCATCCTGACGTATACTTAATATTACAATGTAAACCGTTCTTTTATTATCGACACGAAACGTTATAACAATGAGACACATATAATAAAAGGTACTCACTCACCGTAGATCCAGTATTAGATTGCCCCGTTCTCCAAGCTGGATAACAACTTCTGTACAGAAAAGCAAACACTGACAGCTGCATTCTCAGTGTACGAAGAAACTTATCGAGGTGGTGTTTTTCAAAGACCTTTCACCAATCAATTAGTGAGAAAGAATGAAAGATTTTAAGGAAATTAAAAAGAAACTAATAAAAATAATTTAAAAATTTTGAGTTTTAATAAAAATGATAAAAATGTGTTGTAAGTACATATTATTAGAAGTGATTTTTTAGAGTAAAAATGTTATTTTTGTTAAAAGTGAATAATGCCGGAAGTGTTTCGTTAAAACTTCCAAAATTAAATGAGAGTTCAAAGGGGTATATACGGTTAGATACCGGTTCTGAAGGGGGTTAGGGTGTGCATTTTGATAACAGATTAGTCATGATAATATCTAAACACTGCCCATTAATTAGTGTTATTTAGAGATTGGTCTTTATTTCTCACCTCATCACGTGGTCCAGCATGAAAGTAAACCTTAGGTTTTTTTTTTCTTTCTTTTCTGTAACAATCCACGTCTAAATCATTGAAATTTTCCTTCAAATTTTTCTTCGTTCTCCTTTCGTTTTTCTTATATATCAATTTGCTTTTACTAACAGGAAAAGAATAATAATCAAATGGATCAAGAACTTGATAGTAGAAGTACCCCTAGTAGCAAGGGGTGAAGTGAGAAATAAAAACCACATTATGGGTTCAAAGTTACACCCTTCATTTTCTTAGTCTATCTTAGAATCGTAGAACTATCGTTTGAATTAAAAATAAATAAATAAATAAATACTTCCAATGCCAAATTTAATATTAAATTATTGTTGACTCATTGTGTGAATTATCAAAATAATCACCTCAATACGTTTGCATTAAGAAAAATTAATATGGATAATTAAATAGAAAATGTATAAGAAGGAATATTCATTTAGGTCAGATAATGAACTCATCTAATATAATCTCTTAGAGATGCCTTATGCTTTGTTTTTTAATGTTTTTTTTATTGTTGGTTAGATATGCATATCACTAAAAAGAATGCAAGACAGCGTTGCAGATCTTTGGTAGGTCAGTTTTCTCATCTCCCTAAGCATGTCTGTGACAACAATACTTTGTTACCTCGTTGCCGCTCCAATCGATCATAAAAGTTAATCCAAATAAATAAACAACAAAAAAAACAAAAAAAACAATATTTTCAAGATTTCATAGGAACGTGCTGGACATGATTGAGAGCAGCCATTAGCAACGCGTGTCAATTAATTTAGGGTTTTAATCCAGGAGCTTTGTATCTTCCAGTTTCTTGTCTTGCAAAAGACAAATTGCTCAATTAGGGAAACAAAGCAAACTAATTAACTAAAAACATAAAATAAAACAATTAATCACGTACAGATACAGCTAATGCAATGCAGCAGCAACAAGCAGCAGCATGCAGCAAAAATATTGGAATTGAGAGACAAAGTTGGATCGAGTGTCGACTCAATCAAAATGTCGGTCGCATGCTCCAGCACAAGCATCCAATGATAATCTGGATGATGATTATGTTCTTATCCGTTTTAATGCGTAAAAAGTTTTTTGCGTCAGATTATATGCTGCGGTTAAAGGCAGCAAATTGTATGCCACAGTTATATGGATGGGGACAATACATGCATGCGAAGTGTATGCCACAGTTATTGGAGCTATATACGGTCCCCTTTTGCTTTATCTTTTTTCTCTTTTTTCTTTTTGGGTGTATTGTGAATGAGCTTTGTTTACTGTATGAGAGAATCATTCACGTCCGATTTTTGCTCGTTTACTAACATATAGGGGAATATAAAAATATACGGTCCCTGTTCGAATTTCTCTTTCGTAGTTTAGATAAATTTAGTATAGATTACCTTGTTATTTGTCAAAAGAAAAATAAAAAAGTAAAAATACATGGATTTAAAAGGTATAGTTCAAATGATTAGAACCGTCTTACGCCTAATATCCTATATTCGATTCTTTCTTTTCCAATATTGCTTTTCTTAGAAAAATTGCATGTAAATATGATTGCAGAATCCGTAAATTTTTTATATAATGATATTCTAATCAAAGTCAGGAATTGTATCTACTAAAGTTCTTATTCTCTATTCCTCAAAATCATAAATTGGATCAAGTAGGTTCTTATTCCATTCCTAAGTTCCATGATTTCTTTGTTTCCTTTTCTCCATTCCTAAAATCCTTGACGAAAAAACACTTATTGCTTTAATTAAATTTTTATAAATTCACTAACTTTAACCGTCGAAAAGTCGTCCTAATCCAACTCCAAAAAAAATTAAACCTGGTTGGTAGTTGAAATTAAGGTCACACACATGAATAACTCTACCTTTAATGGCTTTAACACTACTTTCCTTTTAACCCATTTTTAATTCAACACTCTTTGAGTTTAGATGAGAAGTTTTACTCCATTGGATGCCCATTTATATCAATTATAAAATCAGAACAAACCAAGTTTCAGAGAGAGAGAGAGAGAGAGCGTGCAAACACGATATGGACAAAGCAAACCACGTTAGAGTGAGAGCCATTGGTCGGTTGGTAATGTTTAACAGCTGCAGACTGCAAAGACCCCTCCCTACAGGACCCTTTGAATCCAAGACTCAACTCACAGCAACCTTAATTCCTCTTAGTATTCCTTGTCCTACATGGAATAGCACTTTCCACCAATAACCCAATACTCCCATCCCATATAATATTATCCAATCCCACACCCTCCTCCCTCCTCCTAAACTCTCTTTCGCCACTTAATCTGCTCTGCTCTTTCTTGTCATCGTCATGAGGAAGCTTTGTCCCAATCTGGACCGTGAAGACGGCCTTGAAACCGTCCTCGAGGTCCCAATCCCCGAAGAGATGTATGCTTCAGGCAATCACAAGAACGCCACCATTTCATGGTACAACATGAAGTCGTGGATGAAACCCTCAAACAACGACCGATCACAATCAGCCAACGCGGTTTTTGGAAGCAAAAACGCCGAAGTCCAGCTCTTGCTTGGAGTCATTGGAGCCCCTCTGATTCCATTACCAATTCCCAACGATCAGCAACCCAGTAGCCACGCCATGAAAGATCAACCCATTGTAAGTCATTTATACCTAATTATTAACGCTTATGTTGCTAGACCGAAATTTGGATCGCACTTTCAGAAAATAACGAATACTATTAATAATTCAGATTCTCAGTTTGACGACATAATTATAACTAGTAAGACAGTATTATGACAAGTCACAAGTCTTGTTGCATATAAATAATTTTGGTCACATATGAAGTTCCTTAATTATTTTTGTGTTTTATGATTTGTAGGAATCTTCGATGGCTAAGTACATAATGAAGCAATACATAGCGGCAGTGGGAGGAGAGAAGGCTTTGAATTCAGTAGATAGCATGTGCGCAATGGGGAAGGTGAAGATGGCGGCGTCAGAGTTTTGTACTGGAGAGAGGAGCTTGAATGGTGGTAAGAACAAGTTGAAGGTTAAGAGCTTGTTGAGATCAGTTGGCGGCGGCGGCGAGATGGGTGGGTTTGTGCTGTGGCAGAAAAGACCAGAGCTTTGGTGCTTGGAATTGGTGGTGTCTGGTTGCAAGATCAGTGCAGGGAGTGATGGAAAGGTGGCTTGGCGCCAAACGCCATGGCACCACTCTCATGCCTCTCGAGGCCCGCCTCGTCCTCTCCGGCGTCTCCTTCAGGTACCAACCCCTCCCACCTCTCCCTTTCCGGGTAGTTTTTTCTTTTAAAATAAAATTGGTTGTTCTTTTATTTTCACCATTTGAACAAAATTAATTACCACTTAGGCTTCCATAACTTAATTGTAGATCATTTATACATTTGAGTCTGATATCAATCAACGATTATGAATTACAAATAAGTACTTTTACTAGACATAATTAAATTATTATCAATCGTTAATGCATATGAATCTCACAATCTATAACATTTGATTCTTTATGCAATTCATTAGTTCTAGCAAAAGCGTGTGTTTGGGGACATTTTTCACTAATTTTGATGGTGATTTGTGTGCTTTTTGGATTCCACTCTAGTTTGTTTTTTTTTTGACTTTGCGTTTGAGAAGACCGACTTGTAAGTTGGTCTGTCCCCATCCAATTAGTCCATAGCATAATTCTATGCCCCACCTACACGTCTCTTACCACTCTTTCCCTAACTGCATAGCCCTTTTTTTATTATTATTATTTTTTATCTTTGCTTGTTTTCAAAAGTCATTTTCTTTATTCAAAAAGAAAAAAAAAGAGACAACTAAATACCTTAATACACTAAATAACCATACTATTTTTTGTACTAAACAGGGTCTTGATCCAAGGTCAACAGCTAACTTATTCAGCAACTCAGTTTGCATTGGAGAGAAAGCAATCAAGGACGAAGACTGCTTCATACTAAAACTAGAAGCCGAACTCTCAACCCTAAAAGCAAGAAGCAGCTCCAACGTTGAGATAATAAGGCACACAGTTTGGGGCCACTTCAGCCAAAAAACCGGCCTCCTTGTCCAACTAGAGGACTCCCACCTCCTCCGAATCAAATCCGCCGGCAACGACCACAGCATCTTTTGGGAGACCACAATGGAGTCCTACATCCAAGACTACCGGAATGTCGAAGGCATCAGCATTGCGCATGGGGGCAAGACATGTGTATCGTTGTTTAGGTTTGGTGACAGCACGGAAGGCCATTCAAGGACACGAATGGAGGAGGCTTGGGAAATCGAGGAAGTCGATTTTAACATAAAGGGTTTGTCCATGGACTGCTTCTTGCCTCCCGGTGACTTAAAGAAAGAAGAAAAGGAAGGCAAATGTGGTGCCATGGTCACTAGTGCACATTCCAAATTGCCCTACAAAATTCGATCCGCTTCATGGAGAATTAGTGCTTCGAAAGTCGCTGCACTCAATGTTGAATATGATTCAGAAGACAACGATAACAGTGATTAAGAATTGCAAATTCGTGATTTTTTTGATTTTGTACATAATTTTACGAAGAGTATCACTAAACAAAAAACTAAGCGAATCTTACAATTATTGTTTGTTATGCAGTTTTGATGTTTGGTAGTCAAATAAGAGCATCTCCAAGAGAACTCACAAAACTAAATTTGAAGTACCTACATTTGATTTTTTGTGCTCCTACAAAATTGTCGAATGATTCTTCAAATTTAGAAAATGTGCTAGAGACTCTAGATTTAGGGCTGGTTTGGTATTGCTGTGCTTTGAAAAAAAGCTGCTTCTGCTGTGCTGTGAGAATAAGCAGCTGTGAAATAAAGCAGCAAAGTGTTTGGTAAACTTTTTTGTAAAAGTGCTTTTGAAAAAAAAAAAGCAGTATTATAGTGTTTGGTAAACTTTTATGTAAAACAGATGTGAAAAAAAGTCAGTTTTTCAAAGCTGGGTTTTGCAGCTTCTTGTTTTTGGCTTTTTTTCACCCAAAACTGTGAAAAAAAGCTGAAGCTGAATGTTTACCAAACACAAAAACAACTATGAGCTTTTTTTTATACCAACTTTTTTCAGAATCACCTCAGTACCAAACCAAGCCTTAGTGACTCTTTATCCAACTCTTCAAACATTCTGTTGTTAGGGATTTTTTTTGATCAAGCAGAACTTGGGCTTTGGGATGCTTAACTCCCTTGGTTTGTTTCGGACTCCAGGCCTTGAGATACCTCAAAAGAAAAGCATGTCTTAGGAGATATTCCAGATAAACCAACAACCCCCAATAGCAATGACTGAATAACTATAACAACAAATTATAACTTGCATCAGTAATGTGTGATGTGGAAGCTAAAAGGCCCCTATTTTAGCGTGAGAGAGATATCCTTGGTTGTTGGTTTTGAAGTGCCTAATTAGGGTTTCTATTATGGCAAAGGTCATAATGAAGGAAAGGCTAAAGCTCATGAATTAGGGTTTTCCAGCACTTAGAGATTGCTTGGCCTGCTTGGTCCATCCCCCCATTCAAGCGTGCTGAAGGCTTCAATTGATCGACCGGGGAATTCCTCAAAATCCTAACCGGAGAATCCCTTAGGTTTCTCACTTCTTCTTGTTTTGTTAAGTCTTCCTTTCTCTTTTCCATTGTTGTAGGTACATCATGCCTCTTTGGGGTAGTATTGTAGAGAGTAAGTAGCCTCGTGAAGGCTAGGTTAACCATTTTGCCCAGAATTCTTTCTTTCTTGCACCAAGTCCCACAACAAAGTTTCATTTTTGGCTATACTCCTCTATTTTCTTCTTTGATTTCATTTCTGTCTTAAAATGGTAAGGTTCATCCAGCACGTTACAACGAGGTGCACAACCGAAGATCATACTCTGTCAACGCATAAATCTAGGTGAATTAAGTTTCTGAATTTGGTTAGGTTTGAAGTATTTTAGTTGGTTTGTAAAGAAATCGATAGAGAATTATCTCTCATAGCCTTAACCCGTCAAACTAAAGTTGTGGGCCTAAAATTTTGGTGCTCCCAAGCAGGCCAAAATCTCTACAAGCTTGACTTCCACGTAAACCTAATGAACTTTTATAATCGTTCACACCACAACTCTTTTGACAAGCCCTGTTATGTGACTTGGGCCCCCTTAATAGTGTTGTGTGAAGAGTAGCTTGGCATGATTCGAATTAAAATTTTAATGCATTAATATTGTAAGCTTGTTTTGATAGATCCTAACATGATGAATATTTGTAGTTTTGTATATGTAACTGTGAATTTTTCGAATGTTCGAATTATGAATTATAATTTATTTAGACGTGGCATGATTGTGAATTTGCATATCTCTCGTTTTAGACTCTACGCATGAATTAGAGCTTGATTTACTACGAATATATAGTGATTGGGCTTCCAATTACAATTAGGCTTCTTACTGAATTTTTCTAATGTGTCTTAACTTTTTCCCCAAACTGAAATGAGATATTAATGTAGCACTTCATTCTTTCAATAAAAATGAGATAAGTTGGCATGGGCTTGGGCCATTGGGCCTTGATGAATAGAGTTTTTTACATCGTAATATTTACAAAGTTGCCAATATGTAACGGCCCTTATGTTTCGTGCGATGAAAGCGGAGAACGTGCCGCGTAATTGAACTCTCTAGAAATCTGATCACTGACTTATGAAATTCGCCCAAATTCGAAACCGCCCCTTATCCGAAAAATCAAATTCCAAATTGCCTGATTGATCAGAAGATTCTCGAACGATGTCGCTGATTCCGAACCCATTCGGGCGCCGATCGGGCGTGTTCGACCCGTTTTCACTCGACCTGTGGGACCACCAGGTCCACCATCCGTTCCGCTCACTCTCGGACCTGTCGTCCCGGTCCGAAACGGAGTCGTTCGCCCACGCGCACATCGACTGGAAGGAGACGCCGACGGCGCACGTGTTCAAGGCGGACGTGCCGGGGCTGAGGAAGGAGGAGGTGAAGGTTGAGGTGGAGGACGGCCGGATCCTCCAGATCAGCGGGGAGAGGAAGAGGGAGCAGGAGGAGAAGACGGAAAGGTGGCACCGGGTAGAGCGCAGCAGCGGGACGTTCACGAGGAGGTTTCGGCTGCCGGAGAACGCGAGCGTGGAGGAGGTGAGGGCGGGGATGGAAAACGGAGTGCTGACTATCACTGTGCCTAAGGTGAACGCCAAGAAGGTGGATGTCAGGTCCATTGAGATCTCTGGTTGATTCATTAGTTATTTAAGTTTTCCGTGTCTATTAACAGTTAATTACCGAAATTAAATAAATCAAGTGCAGCTTATGCGTCATGTATGCGTTTGATCGGTTGTTTTTTTTTTTTTTTTTTTTTGTATTAACTGGTACTTTCGTAATGGAATAAATGTAAGTCGATATGGAATTATGTAATTTTGCAAGTGTATGCGCCTAATAAAAAATCCATCCTAACTTTTCGGTCTTCTCATTTATTACTCGTGGACGCTTCTTCTCCTAATTCTTTCCATTTTACCAACAAAAAATTTATAATATCTCACAAATTTAAATCGGATAAATGTTCTCAAATAGCACCTGCCGATAGAAATTTTCTCTATTTCGAAATATTTGTAGGCCTTGAATGGTGAAAAAAAAAAAAGAAATATACGAAGGCCTTGGAAAGTGAAAAAAGGGAGTGGGTGCTGTATTTTCAGGATTAAATTTAATATTCGAATAAACCTCGTACTTATATATTGAAATAAATCTCGTAATTGTAAGATAATAAATTCAAAAATACAAATTTAAAATGTACGCAATTTTGATAAAGGTATATAATATTTTAGAGGAAGAACCCATACATTAAGTTTGACACACCATATCACTCGTCTCACACACACAGACTCGGAAATACAAAGCGCAGAAATTAACACCACAACAAAAAACAAACCATGATTATTTAACTTAATCACGACATTAAGCCCAAAAGAAGCCGAGGTTTAACATATGCGAGCTTAGTTTAGCCGGAGATTTCAATGGCCTTGACCTCAGGCTTCTTCTCCTCCTCCTTCGGCACAGTCACGGTCAGCACCCCATTCTCCATCGCCGCCTTCACCTGATCAATCTTCGCGTTCTCCGGCAGCCTGAACCTCCTTATAAACTTGCCGCTGCTCCTCTCCACCCTGTGCCACTTGTCGTTCTTATCCTCCTGCTCCCTGCTCCTCTCGCCGCTGATCTGCAGGACCCTCCCGTCCTCCACCTCCACTTTCACCTCCTCCTTTTTGATCCCCGGGAGGTCCGCCTTGAAGATGTGGGCCTCCGGGGTCTCCTTCCAGTCGACGCGGGTGTTGGCGATGGAGGTGGTTTCACGGGCGGAGGAGGGGAAGTTGGCCAGAGTGCCGAAGCCCTCAAACGGGTCCCAGATGTCGAGAGAGAAGGGGTCGAAGACGCTGCTTCGTCGGCCGTTGCCATAGAGACTGAGAGCCATTGGATGCTGGGTTTCTGCTGGGTATCAAATTTGAAGTATTTGAGTGACGTATTTTTGCTTTGGCTGCTTTAGACGCTTCTATCTGATCAGGGTGGGGTGTATATATGTATATATAGGGGCATAGAAGATTTCTCCGAGAGTTGCAGAGACTTCTGCAATTATCCAGAAGAAAGAGAAAAAAAAAAAGTAGATAACGGAGAGTTCCGTCAGATTCCAATTCCATCAACTTCTTGAAAGTGTTTTTCTTTTTCTTTTTCGGCCCAAAACATAATTGGTACTTAGAAACTTAGAAGTTTTTAACGAAAAGTTTTCTTCACTTTAATTTAAATTTATTTTACTCTTTATTTTTTTATAGTTAAAACTCAAATTTTTCAAGTTATTTTTATTAATTTTTTTTGTAAATTTTGGGCTTTCTCCGTTGGATCCAAAAAAGAACCCAACTACTCTGTTTGGGTCTATATAATTCCTCATGCCATTCTCTCCATTCTCTTTTCTCTGGCTGATCTCTCTCTTTCTTCTCTCACTGAATTCATACTACAACACGTTTTGCGCTAAGGAACAGAAGGATTTTTTGCAACTAGCACTGAAAAAGCTTTTATTGTTTTCATCAAGGTTATTTTAAAATATGGAATTGATATTTTATGTCTTGACAACAAGAAAACATTCACCAATTATACATGAACTCCAAATTTTTTCTTGCCTTACATATTTCATATATTGCTCAATTATACATATTGTTCGTTCATGCAGATGAAGGTGAAAGAGTTGCCTAAGTCTCACAATAGTTAGCAGTATACGCATTATTCCTCAAGCCCCTGCTCATCCTTCTCTTCGCTTTGGCCAATCTCCCATTTCGTTGGATTAGTGAGGATGACTCACAAGAATAGGTCACTAAAGACCTTGCGTTCTCCTCTTCTTACACACTTCGGACATTTCTAGCATTTCAATTAAAAAAATAAGAGAACAAAATCATAAAGTTAAGCAGAGATGTTTAAACGCCGAACTTATGTGTTTTTGCCAAGAAATGTTAAGACAAGTCCAATTTGTGTGCTACGTAGGCAAAACTCCCCTCAAAAAAGAAAATTTTCATTGTAACAGGAATACAGATAGTACATCACATGTTTTTATAGAAGTGATAATAAATTTTATTTTTTAAATTATTAACTATGTAGCACACATATCCCACTATTTATAAAGTAACACGTGATGTATCACCTTGTGTACTGATCACAGTGAAAAATCTCTTATCCAAAAGACTTCGGCAAATGCCCAGGAAAAATAAACTAGCAAAGATTTGATGAGGCTTTTTTGTCTAGTTGAAATGGCGTAAGGAAGGAAATTATATATTTTTTTCGAAGGAAGCAAATTGGCCTTTGCCAATACTTTAGTAAATAAATGCACGCTCCCTTATATCTTAGGCTTCCTAATTATTAAAACGAGCAGAGTACATACAATAATTAGTTCAATGTCTTGTTCTTTTAAAGAAGTGGTGGCGAAAATTTATTAATACAACGATAATAGTAATTTACAAAACAAGTATCAACTAAGCATTCTTGATTTGATGGGAATAAGCGCACAACAAACAAACAAAATTAATCTCTTATATAGCAACTACAATGCGCATAGAAACGCGAAAACCGATCGTATAAATTAATCACGCTAGATCAGTGGTGACACATCAAAATCCAAAAAGGCGCACAAACATATACAAAAAACACAAAATACAACTAAGGAGATAAATTATGGTCTGCTCATCTCCGCAACAACAAAGCATGGCGCACTAATCTCGAACCTCTGCAACCGGATTGCACCAGCCACGACCCCAACAAGGTGTCTCACATATTTGGCCATGGAAAGCGATTTGATCACAGAACCGACCATAGGTCTGCAACCATCACCGAACAAAGTTAGACCAGCAAACAGTCATGACCCTCGAAAGGTGGCACAATCACTAAAACGCCGGGGGGACACAAACTCGAGAGCTATACAATATAGAACTCGAGATTTACAATTCAAAACGCATTGTATCTTACTGGATTCAATTAGCATTGTATCCAAGTCGTGACGCTACGCAAGTTTGTAAGTATTTCTTGCTTAAATTATCTGTTAAAATTTTTGAAATAAGTAAAGAATTAGGATTTATAGAGAACTAGGTTTCCAGTAATCTGGTTTTGCAGGAAAGTAAATATCACACAAGGTTTTTCTTCACTGTATTGCATACCCTCAACAACATAGGGTGCGATCTATTTATAATCAACTTCAGATTGCATTAGGACTTTCAAAATCCTATTTACAAGGTATAATTCAAAATTTAAAAATAACAAACCATCACTTGAACACACGGTGGAAACTAACTACAACAACTTGGAAAAATCAAATAATAATAAAAGAAAAGCTAGCCAATCAGAATTGCTTACCAAGTAAACAAACTCAATAGTTTGTGTTGGAAGAGGATTCATGACTCAATCTTTCAGCCCCCTGCAAGCTAACAGACCGAGGAACGACTGGAAGCTTGAACACAAGAAGTTTGAAACGTATAAAGGACAACCCTTTAGTAAACAAATCTGCAATTTGGTCTTGAGAACATATGTAATTCACGAGAAGTTCACCACGAATCACTTTTTCCCTAACATAATGGTAATCTACCTCCAAATGTTTTGTGCGTGAGTGAAAAAAAATATTGGAAGCCAAGGAAATTGAAGAAATATTGTCACACCATATCTTTGGCCGAGCAACCTGTAGTTGCAAATCCTTGAATAAGGATCACAACCATGATAACTCTGCAACTTTATACGCTAATTGTCTATACTCAGCCTCAGTACTAGAACGAGACACTGTCTTTTGCTTCTTTGAACTCCATGAAACCAAATTAAACCCCAAATAAATATAGAAGCCACCCGTAGAATGCTTAGTATCTAGATCTCCAACATAATCCGCATCAGAAAAGGCACTAAGTTGCATACTACCAGGCTTATACACCAACCCATGATCATAAGTGGCCTTCAAATACCTCATTATGCATTTTACAGTTGTCGAGTGAGTGTTCTTTCGTGAATGCATGAATTGGCAAACCTGGTTAACAACATAAGACAAGTCAGGACAGGTGATCGTGAATATATTGCAAAGCACCCACAATACTCATATACGTTTGTGGATCAGGATAAGGGTCTCCATCATGAGCACTCAACTTATGTCCAGAAGGTATTGGAGTTGAAATAGGCTTTACATTAGTGAACTTGGTTTTCTTCAACAAATCAAGAGCACATTTTGTTCGATTGAGATGCATATGATTCTTAAACTTCCAACTCCCAAAAAGTAATTTAGGGCCCCAAATCCTTCATAGAAAACAAGGTGCCAAGCTTCGTGATTAAATTCTTCGTTTGAACTTGACTGCTTCCCATTATTAATATATCGTCCACATAGATTAATAAAATCAAGTAGACTCCACAATGATTAAACACTAATAAAAAATAATCACATCTCGACTCCTGGAAGCCTAGTTGTAGCAAAAAATCCAAAAAACTGTTGGAACCAAGCACGAGGTGCTTGTTTCAAACCATATAAACTCCTCTGCAACTTGCATACATGATTGGGAAACTGTTGATCAATAAAATCTACTGGCTACCTCATGTAAACATCCTCTGCAAGATAGCCATGCAAATACGCATTCTGAACATCCAGTTGACGGACCAACCACTTATTCGAAACTGCAAGATTGAGAACCAACCGAATGGTACTATGTTTGACAATTCGACTGAATGTTTCATTGTAGTCAATCCATTGCTGTTGGTGAAAATCATTAGCTACTAACGTTGCTTTATGACATTCAAATGAGCCATCAGCACACTGTTTGATCTTGTAAACCCATTTATTAGGAAGCAAGTTCATGGAAGAATGGTAAGACATCAACCTCCAGGTTCCACATCTTTGTAAGGCATTGAACTCTTTCACCATTGCATCCCTCCATTCTTGATGCTTCACTGCTTGAGTAAAACAAGTTGGTTCAAGCATTTTTTTTATCATAAGTCATATGCAATGCATACTTAGGATTGGGGTTTTGAACATCGGCTTTACTATGAGTTATCATGGGATGAATTGGAGTTTGTGTAGCAATGGAACTAGTTGATGCACTCACTGGTTCATTTTGTTGGATGGACGACGCTGTTTTTTGCTCATTTATGGATTCTAAAGGTGGTCTATTGTTCGTAGGATTGGAAGGCACTATGGCATGCTATCCTAGGATTTTATGTACAACATGATTTGTTTGTGGAACTATGGGATTTGGCACGGGTTCAATGGGGTTAATGATCTCATGGGAGGCAGGTTAAGAAGATGGGAAACTAAAAAACAAATCATGTGAAGAGATCAAACCTGTTTTATCCATGCAATCCTCGATAGGTGTGAGTTCCTGGAAAGGAAAAGAGTCCTCATCGAATAGGACATGACGAGACAAATAAATCGTTTGATGGATAAATCCAAGCATTTATATCCTTGATGGTTAAGTGAATGTCCTAAAAGCACACAAGACTTTGATTTGGACTCACGTTTATTATTATTATATGGTTTCAACCTTGGAAAATGACGACTACCAAACACTTTAAACATCTTATAGTTAGGCTTCCTTTACAAATGGTGAAATATTTGAAAGAACACGAGTTAGAAGTCTATTTTATAAATAAAGTGGCTGTTTGAAACGCATCGAACAAAAATTTATTAGGAACATGAGCATGAGACAACATGACTAAACCCGTTTCAACAATATGACGATGTTTTCGTTTAGCGAGACTGTTTTGTTCAGGGTGTTTAGGGCACGAAAATATTTGAGAAATTTCATGTAGTGCAAGAAATTAAGGAAAAGCTTGACTCTTATATTCTCCTCTCTCATAACATTGAAGAGTTTCAATAGTACAAGTAAACATATTTTCCACTTTCTTTTTAAACGTGACAAACATTTCAAAGACTTAAGATTTTTGCTTAAGGGGAAAAATCCATGAATATCGTAAAAAATCATCCACAAAAAGCAAATAATATTTATCTGCTTCAACTGAAACCACAGGAAAACACCAATCATCGGAATGCAAAAGTTCTAATGGAAATCTAGAAATAGACTTGGAGGTACTAAATGACAATTTAGAAATTTATGGACATGACTGACAAAACTTTACATCATTAGTGCCATGAACTGGCACTTGATTATTTGAAACTAAAAACTTAATTATTTGAAGGGTAGGATGGCCTAAACGAGAGTGCCATTTTTGTACTGAGACACGAACTCCTACAAATGCAAACAAAGGATGCTTGGATATTCCATTACCACTTTGAAATGGATATAAGCCATTCTCACACCTCTCTTGGAAAAGCATCATCCGGGTCTTGAGGTCCTTAACAACAATATGGCATGGAAAAATTATAAGGTAACAATGGTTATTTAGGGTAAATCTATGAGCATATTATGTTTGTTGAAGCAGATGGACAGTGCAAAATATTATTAAGGTTGAACGAGCAAGAAGTAGTATTTATTTGATTCGAACCAGAGTGAGCAATAGAAATGCCAGTGTCATTACCTACACCTCCAATGTTTTTATTACCATTGTACTCTTTGGGATTCACCAAATTCTGAATATCTCCTGTATCGAGCAACCATGAGCAATTGTTTTGGCGATTCAAAACGGTCGGTGAAGAAGCCATTGCACTTAGGCGCTTGGCGGGAATACGACCTTCATACGCAGTGTTCATGTGTGGGTAACAATCAAGGGTTAGATGCCCTTCCTTTCCACATATCTAGCAGGTAATACGACTGTCTCCAGACCCAAATGGATCACCATTACCACCAAGAACACGCTGGTAATTGTTGTTGTTACGAGAACCAGAGACTCGTGGATTTACACCTCCACGATTGGATGGAAAACCACCGCACCCAGTACCACGAGAACGTCCACCACTTCCTCTTGCTGCTACAAAAGCATTCACTGGGGGCGATTCAACTAGTGAAAGAGCTTCAAGAGTTAGGTATGTGATAGGTGTATCATGTGCCTGAGCAGCATTGACAATCATTTCAAACGCAGAACCAATGTTGTTCAAAATGATTTGGACAAGTTCATCATCGTCCACATAGGAGCTAAAGCCAAATTGTCAGCAATCACATTCATCTTATCAAGATAATCAGTGACAGATAACTCACATTTCTTACTTTGGAGTATTCATTGCGGAGGAAAAGAATTCGATTCTGGGATGAGGACGCATACCTCTGCTCCAGTGCTTCCTATCGTTTGCTTGCCACAATCGAAAGAACTGAGGCAATGAGAGCCATTTATCCAACTGATGATCATTTGGTCTTTGCTGCATCCACATGTTGTAGGCGGGATTGACAGAATTGCTCCCAACAAGGTGTTTGGGAGGGCATACACCATCAACGTAACCCATAAGATCACGACTCTTCAGGATTGGAACGATCTGAGCTAACCACAAGGGATAGTCTTATCCAGCTTGATACTGACGACGGTAGTCATGAAAGACGCCATCTTAGCAGCAGGAAATGTAGGTGGGGGGTTTTGGTGGGCATACCATAAAGAACTAGGATTTGCAGAGAACTAAATTTCCAATAAACTGATTCTGCAAGAATGTAAATATGGCACCAGATTTTTCTTCACTGTATTGCGTACCCTCAACAACGTAGAGTGCACTTCAAAATTCAAAGATAAACCATAAACTGAACATACGGTGAAAACTAATTACAACAACTTTGAAAAAATCGAATAATAATAACAGAAAGGCTAACCAATCAAAATGCTGACCAAGTAAACAAACTCAAGAGTTTGTATTGGAAGAGGATTCACGACTCGGTCTTTCAATAAGAACGCACTCAAACTTTTGTGGAGGTTTATAACATTTCAGAACAAGAAACCATACATGAAAACTGACGCAACATATCACTCATCTCACGTACACACAGACTCGGAAATGCGAAAGACAGAAATTAAAACCACAACAAACCGTTATTTAATATTACAACATTTAAATTAAGCCCAAAAGCAGCCGAGGTTATGCGAATCTAGTTTAGCCGGAGATGTCAATGGCCTTCACCTCAGGCTTCTTCTCCTCCTCTTTCGGCACAGTCACAGTCAGCACCCCATTCTCCATCGCCGCCTTCACCTGATCAATCTTCGCGTTCTCCGGCAGCCTGAACCTCCTTATGAACTTGCCGCTGCTCCTCTCCACCCTGTGCCACTTGTCGTTCTTATCCTCCTGCTCCCGGCTCCTCTCGCCGCTGATCTGCAGGACCCTCCCATCCTCCACCTCAACTTTCACCTCCTCCTTTTTTATCCCCGGGAGGTCCGCCTTGAAAACGTGGGCCTCCGGGGTCTCCTTCCAGTCGATGCGGGTGTTGGCGATGGCGGTTGTTTCCCGTGCGGAGGAGGGGATGTTGGCCAGAGTGCTGAAGCCCTCGAACGGGTCCCAGATGTCGAGAGAGAAGGGGTCGAAGACGTTGCTTCGTCGGCCGTTTCCAAAGAGACTGAGAGCCATGGGTGTTGGGTTTTTTGCTGGGTGTAAACTTAGAAGTATTTTAAACGCTTTGGACGATCTTTATCTGACGAGACAGCACGGACTGGGTGTATTTATAGGTTTCCAAAGAAGATTCAGGCGTTTTCGTGGATCTTTAAGAATTACGGAAAGTTCCATACTTATCCAGAAAAGAGATAAAAACAGAGAGTTCTACGAGCTTCCATTGACTTCCCGAAACGCCTTTTTTTTTTAAGAAACAAAAACAATAATAATTTCAAGAACGGCAGCCCAGTGCTCTTATCTCAGGTCCATGAATAAATTGGGTTAGTTCCTTTTGAGCCCACAAAAATAATTGTTAGTTAAAAAATCCATTGGACATTGCATGCGACTCTGACTCGAGGCAAGTTGGAATTGCCACCATTGAAATGGAACGGTTTTGTTTATGGGAAGCAATATCTACTGGGGTCGGCACGGTTGGATTCTACGATTTTAAGTGAAATCAAAATCGAAACTATAATTTTTTACGGTTCGATTCGGTGCAATTTTGAAGTCAAAATCAAAATCAAATCAAATCGTTGGGTTCGATTTGGTGCCGTTTCAAACAGTTTCGGTTCGGTTTTCAAACCACTTACATACAAAATGAAAAAATTTCTCATTGTTCTCTCTCTCTCTCCCCTCCCCTCTCTCACAAAAAATATTAAACAAAGCATACACACCCTAAGAGAGAGGTGTTACTGCTAACTACTAATTAGACTCTTGTCACTCCCCACCACAACAAAGTGTCGTAAGGATTCCTCTGCCCCTTGATTACACACCAAACCAAATCAAATAGTCAAAGTCTGCAAGTATCATAAAAGGCCTAACCAAATCAGATAGAGTTTGAGTAAATAACAATGAAACAAATTGATACACTCCTATCATTTTGTACCAAAATATTTTCAACCAAAATAAACCATTTTTTACAAATTAATGTACCCTAGTCAATATCTATTACCATTTCACATTCATCACCCAGAAAAACTAATATTGAAGCCTTTAGTACCTTATCCAGAACCCGTCATCGGCGCCTAAAAAAAGTAATAATCGCCCAAACAGAGCAATTGAGGACAAAAAACATACATATCTGAATCTGATTTACATGCATACACAAGAACCGATATTATGAAAGGGATGTGCTATCCACACACCCCAAATTACTTCTCACACACCTCTTGTTAATTTCTGTTCGTTGATCTTCTTCAATTCATCCGATCTGATGATCGAAAATTAAAAGGGTGTGTGAGAAGTAAAATGGAGTGTATGGATATCACACCCCTTATGAAAATGTTTTGTCCCCAATGCCAAATGAGACCGAGAGTAGCACTAAGCAGGAAACAACTAATTAAATATATGGAGTGTAACAAACACCTAATTAAAACATAACATCTAATATGGTTATTCAATTAAAGGTTCTTTATATATTTGTGGTCCAGTTGGGTTTTCAAAAGCCAATATTGAAACCAAACCGTTTTCCTACACTGCGGTTAAAACCAAACTATTCGGTGTGGTTCAATTTGGTTCGTGTTTCGGTTTTAGTTTTCGGTTCCAAAGTGCCCACCCCTAATATCCATACATTTTTTTGGGTTAAAATCTAAAAAATTTCAGCCAGAAAATTTAGACTTTAACTCAAAAACTTTTCTGCTCCAATCAATTTGGATTAAATTTTTAGTCTAAAATTATGTAGACTATCTGACACACTTTGACCCGGGATGTCCACTTAGGCTCCAAATCGAGTCGTGTCAGTCGACACTAGGAAGGTGACGAAGCCATAAAGTGTAGTGATGTGCAAAAAATGAATAAATTTGACCCTAAAAGTGCCTAAAATATAAGAGTGTGCTTGTGAGTGGGAATGAACCCATTTCACACGGGATGTCAGAGCATAAGTAGAGTACAGTAAAATTAGAATAAGAGCTATACCATTGAGAGTAGTCTATGATATCAACGTTTGCTAGAAATCCTTGTCGACACGAACACTGCCACTAAATCCTGGAAGGGCGAAAAGTAAGGGTGAGTGGTCCTAAAAATAAAGCTTTGTAGAAACCTTTTTGAAAACCTATAACCCCTCGTCGTGAGACAAGTATAGTTTCCAATTATAACATACTACTTATAGTATGAAAATACTCCGTAGCCATCAATACCTCAAAAATGCAATATTTCACAATAATTTGTAAATAAGCATATAACTTCTAGTAATCACAATATCTCGTAGAAATAAACATATCATATCGAGTGCTCATCGACATATGCTGACACACGAGTTCATGCGGAGATATTGTGACATGAACAAGACTGGGTGTAATAATGATTTACGTTATAATACTACAATCATGTAAAAACTGGTGCTATGCGCTCACATACGAGTCCTAATTAGCTATAACAATCTAGGACAGGACTGGCACCTATAATGGATCCAAAGTGAGCGTACGATGCAATGTGAACATACACATGAAGTCTGGCCTTAGCCCGGGCAAGTACAAACACCAGTGTAGCAACTATGAACAGATAACATGAATATGGTCCTGCTGTGACAACCCGCTCCAAATTTTACGTTTTTATTTTATTTTAAAAGCGTGAATTTACAAAATTGCCCTAGAGGCAAGGGCTTTGACTTCCGTTGACCATCGACTCGAGAGATGTGAGACTTATTCTTTTAGCATATCCTCGTAGTACTTATTGGTACGAACGTATCGGCGAAAGCTGTTTGCGAGTCCGGATTATAACGGTATAGTTACGGACGTTCGAAATTGGTTATTCAAGGTTTAACGTTTATTTAAATTAAATTCCCCCTTGTGGGGAAAGGCCCAATCAGAATTGGAAGAAAGAAAAAAAAAAAAAATAGGAAGTGGGTTTCGTCCACTCGCACCACCGCGAGTGCCCATTTTCCGAGGCCGATTCCGGCCAACTCCGGTGGAGTTTTTCGATGCCACCACCACCATCTTGAAGCTCTCATTCCCCTCTACAAAACCCACCCAAGAAACACCTTGATTAACCATGGTATGAGGCGGTTTGAGGCCACGAAAGTTGACGAAAATCAATGGTGCTCCGGCCACCCTTTTCGATTTTCCGGCAAATCGGCAAAGCAATGGCCGATGCCACCACTTGGGCTTTGTAGCCCATCATCCCAGGAGCAAAACACAACCAACCTTGACCCCGTTGGACCACCGTGGACGACGAATCGACGTCGGGAAGTTTTGGGCACCCGTCGGCTTCGTAGGCAAAATTGACCATCTTCCGTCCATGTTTGGACTTCGTGGAAGGTATGAAAGTTGCTCCACTCACTGAGATCTTCATTTCTGTGAAGTTTGAGAATTTTTGGAAATAGTTGGATTTTCCGGCGAGTCGGGGCGGCCGACCGCCACCCGCGGCGGCGCGTGGCCAGTGGGCTGCCAATGCTATTTTTAGGCTATGAAAAATGTTTTGAATTCAGTTTTGTCATTTGAATGACGTAGGTTGATAGTTGGAACCTAAATTCGTTACGATACGTTACTTGATAAAAATGTGAAACGATGATCCGACCGTTGGATCGTCACCAAAATTGGATACATTATAATACGTAATATTTAAAGATTATAGGAATTTACGGATCAGGAATCCGACTTACGGATCTTCCTGAATTGGATTTGTAAGTTAGTAAAATAAATGTTCACGGCCACTTGTTTTAGGCAATTGGCGGAGATCTGACCGTTGGATCGTAATGAAATTTTAATATGTTATTCTAGAAACATATTGTGGATCGTTGGGAGTTACGGATTGGAAATCTGATATGCGGATCTTCTGGGTCAAGTTATACAAGGTTGTAAACCCTACCGTCGATCTTTGATTGACGGTTGACTTGTGGTCAATAGGTCTCAACCTATTTTAGAATGTCGTTGAGGTTGTGTTTTATGTGAATTGCATATTCTTCAGATAAGAGTTCTGAGATGTGATTTGATAATTGGCCACAGGGACCGATCATTCAGGACGCCTCGATGCGCGTGCTAGAGAAGTATAACGTGGACTCCAGGTGAGTGGATCTTTTCCTTTTTATTGTGCATATTATTGAGAGTTCTATCGACACTTTTAAATTGATTAGGTACATTACCTTCGTATAATTATTGTGAATGCTTGAAGTACTATGTGAACTACGAATGGCTTGATCCCTGTTTAGGGTACGTAGGCAGTCTAACGAGACGTTAGATGCAGCCATAAAATAGAGACAAAAGCCTTGCTTGGGAAATTAAGAAATGCGAAGGAAATTGGTAAAGACAAGTTTTAGTTTTGTGAATTAGTTAGTTAAATTAGAGTTAATTGGGTTGTCATGGATAATTATCCTTGAAAATAAGTAGTTTGGGAATAGGACGTTATTGATTGTACACTTCATACCATATTGTTTATAATTGAAAATGCTACGACATGGTTGAGTAGTAGATTGCATCATGATATATCCATATGTATATTACTTGCATATAATTATTGGGAATGCTTTCAAGTGCAAAGGTGAACTCAGGACACCCACGTAAGTTCAGGTGAGTTTATGGTACTAGTTGAATCGATTGCGTTATAGTACGACTACAGTTATGAGTTAGGCAACTTCGATACTGTCGTACTGGTTGCCATGAGTTGCACATGTTATATTGAGATGCATTGAAAGCTCATAAACCTGCACCCCGGTGTTAGTGCTCCCGCCCGTGGCCAGGGCACAGTTCTTCACGTGATGTTCACCTTCCGCACCTTACGCTCACCTTGGATCCAAGGTAGGTGCACAGTCTTGTCGTACAGACCACTTTAGGTGGTTCCGACTCGTAGGTGACCCGCGATTATTCGCCCAGTCTTCACGTGATCGTAGCACTCGAGCGTATTTATTTACACCTAGTCCTGTCGTACAGACCACTTTAGGTGGTTCCGACTCGTGTGCAGGTATACTTATTGAGCTATATGCTAGCCAGGATTGACGAGATATGGATAAGTCGTATAGGTCACTATAGGTGACTCCGACTTACATGCTAGCCAGGATTGACGAGATATGGATAAGTCGTACAGGTCACTATAGGTGACTCCGACTTACATGCTAGCCAGGATTGACAAGATGTGGATAAGTCGTACAGGTCATTATAGGTGACTCCGACTTATATACTA